AAAAGTTCTAATACTGTTTACAGGCATTAACAGTGCAACATTAGCATTACAAGGCCTTTTAACATAAAGTGTGTTCTTATGCAGTACTCTTAACATGTTCAAGGGATTTTCCAATAGATTAGGCACATTGTACATTTTTACAGTTCTTGGTAATAGCAACACATTAGTTACAAAAATCACCATTAGCAATAACAACACACCCCAGAACTGGACACAGTACTCTAGAGTCTCTAGTTGAGGCCTTATCGGTGGCGACTAGAGTGGAAGATTTACTTCTTGTGTCTTAATTACAACACTCCTGCCAATATATCCCAGAATGGTATTCACTTTTTGTGCAATAGGATTATGCATAGAAACTCCAGCAAGGTGATGATGGGACAGAAAGAATCAGCAGCTACTTTGAGTATGGGTTATTTTCCTGTAAGAGCCTCATAACATATAGCCACCTGGTGTTCACTTAACTAGTCATTGAGATGTCACTGTTGCAGTCATGCCGTTCCTATCAGACAAATGATAGATTTAAGGCAGAGCAAATGGAAAATGCAACTGTGTTCCAAAAACCCAAGACTCTTCCTTGTTCCATCAGTTTAGCCAATAGATAAAAATTAAGTGAACTACAAAAGGCGACAGATCTGAAATAATCTGTCCAGTAGAGGGCAGTGGAAACCACCCATGCACACATAATTGTCAGAATGGTACAAGTCAATGATAATCACTGCACATATATTCTCAGCAAGCTGGCATAAGTATAAATACCAGAGTGCAGCAAAGGAACGGTTCTGTAGTGCCAAATACTAGCCCATGCTACTGCTACACTGCTATTTAAACTCATGCTAGATTAATGAAAGCTCGGGCAAGTATGTATGCACATATAGGGGAATCACAACCCTAGTTCATAGAGTAGGTATAGCCTATGTTGGATATGCTGGTGAAACAGCTCTGCTATAAAAATCTGGTTTTAGACTGGGATGCTTTAGTTTTGAAGAGTGAGGCCAGGAGCCAGGAATGTGTAGGTCCTTTTTCCAGTTCAGCCACTGACTTGACATTTAAGGCATCTCTGTGCCTCTGTTTCTTCATCTGTAACACTTGTTACATCACAGGAATATTGGAAGACTCTCAACTCTTCATTCCACTGGAATCATGGAAGCTCTGTGTGACAGTTCTCAGATTACCCAAGACTGTGAGCCATCTTGTGAGAGAGTCTTGCTTGTGCTTAGCTGGTTGTTAGTTCCCCAATACCACCAACCTGTCAGCCACTCAAGCACTCTTTGGGTGAAGTGAAGTGCAGCCCTGTCTTCACCTTGCAGATTAATAATAGATGCACGCCAGTTCCCGAGTTCCTTTGAAGTGTTCCTCTGTGATATCCAGCCTCTTACAGGCTCCTCCTACAACTACCAGATCCATTGTTCCCAAAGAAACAGAACACACCAGTTTGTAAGATTCCACTCAGGATCAGTACTTTGCTGATGTGATGAAGTGGGGATATTCTTAATGTCTTCGCTGAATACTCTGTGTGTACCTCAGTTTCCCATCTGTGTTACTCAAGTATTTAGGTGGTGGTATGTGGTATTTATGGTATTTAGATGTGTGATCATTTCAGTGACCCATAGGGGGCAGGTGTGACTGCTGCCTGGCTGCCTGGGACAGAGAACAGCTGACACTCTGTAGCCTGGCAACTTATGGCCGGGCCTCCTCCTCTTCAAGAATCAGTTAGAGGTGCCGATGCAGACCAGGTGACCTGCTCCCCCAGGAAAGAGACAAAGGCACAAGGAGGGGCTACAGGTGGTCTGAGGCCAGGCAGCTGGATCCAGTTCAGTCTCCTGTTTGGGAGTCGGAGGGGGGAGTCTGGGACACTAGGCCTTGGATCTCTTTTACAACACTGGCTGAGAGTCACTGCTGACTGCAAAGCTGGGGTGCAGGGCCCTCTGGCTTCCCAAGAGGTCCCATCCAGGTGGAGATTCCACCACCTTCCTAGGTAACCTATTCCAGTGCTTCACCACCCTCCTAGTGAAAAAGTTTTTCCTAATATCCAACTTAAACCTCCCCCACTACAACTTGAAACCATTACTCCTTGTTCTGTCATCTGCTTCCACTGAGAACAGTCTAGATGGAACTTCTTTGGAACCCCCTTTTAGGTAGTTGAAAGCAGCTATCAAATCCCCCCTCATTCTTCTCTTCTGCAGACTAAACAATCCCAGTTCCCTCAGCCTCTCCTCACAAGTCATGTGCTCCAGCCCTCCGTTGAACTCTTTCCAATTTTTCCACATCCTTCTTGTATTGTGGGGCCCAAAACTGGACACAGTATTCCAGATGAGGCCTCACCAATGTCGAATAGAGGGGAACGATCATGTCCCTCGATCTGCTGGCAACGCCCCTACTTATACAGCCCAAAATGCTGTTAGCCTTCTTGGCAACAAGGGCACACTGTTGACTCATATCCATCTTCTCGTCTACTGTAACCCCTAGGTCCTTTTCTGCAGAACTGTTGCCTAGTCATTCGGTCTCTAGTCTGTAACAGTGAATGGAATCCTTCCGTCCTAAGTGCAGGACTCTGCACTTGTCCTTGTTGAACCTCATCAGGTTTCTTGTAGCCCAATCCTCTAATTTGTCTAGGTCCATCTGTATACTATCCCTACCTTCCAGTGAATGTACCACTCCTCCCAGTTTAGTGTGATCTGCAAACTTGCTGAGAGTGCAGTCCACACCATCCTCCAGATCATTAATGAAGATACTGAACAAAACCGGCCCCAGGACCGACCCTTGGGGCACTCCGCTTGAGACTGGCTGCCATCTAGACATGGAGCCATTGATCACTACCCATTGAGTCTGACGATCTAGCCAGCTTTCTATCCACCTTACAGTCCATTCATCCAGCCCATAGTTCTTTAACTTGGCGGCAAGAATACTGTGGGAGATCGTATCAAAAGCTTTGCTAAAGTCAAGGAATAACACATCCACTGCTTTCCCCTCATCCATAGACCCAGTTATCTCCTCATAGAAGACAATTAGGTTAGTCAGGCATGACTTGCCCTTGGTGAATCTATGCTGACTGTTCCTGGTCACTTTCCTCTCCTCTAAGTGCTTCAAAATTGATTCCTTGAGGACCTGCTCCATGATTTTTCCAGGGACTGAGGTGAGGCTGACTGGCCTGTAGTTCCCCGGATCCTCCTTCTTCCCTTTTTTAAAGATGGGGACTACATTAGCCTTTTTGCAGTCATCCGAGACCTCCCCCAATCTCCATGAGTTTTCAAAGATAATGGCCAATGGCTCTGCAATCACATCCGCCAACTCCTTTAGCACCCTTGGATGCAGTGCATCTGGCCCCATGGACTTGTGCTTGTCCAGTTTTTCTAAATAGTCCCGAACCACTTCTTTCTCCACAGAGAGCTGGTCACCTCCTTCCCATACAGTGCTGCCCAGTGCAGCCGTCTGGGAGCTGACCTTGTTTGTGAAGACAGAGGCAAAAAAAGCATTGAGTTCATTAGCTTTTTCCACATCCTCTGGCACTAGGTTGCCTCCCTCATTCAGTAAGGGGCCCACACTTTCCTTGACTTTCTTCTTGTTGCTAACATACCTGAAGAAACCCTTCTTGTTACTCTTAACATCGTCTTGCTAGCTGCAACTCCAAGTGTGATTTGGCCTTCCTGATTTCATTCCTGCATGTCTGAGCAATATTTTTATACTCCTCCCTGGTCATTTGTCCAATCTTCCACTTCTTGTAAGCTTCTTTTTTGCATTTAAGATCAGCAAGGATTTCACTGTTAAGCCAAGCTGGTCGCCTGCCATATTTACTATTCTTTCTACACATTGGGATGTTTTTTTCCCTGCAACCTTAATAAGGATTCTTTAAAATACAGCCAGCTCTCCTGGACTCCTTTCCCCCTCATGTTATTCTCCCAGGGGATCCTGCCCATCAGTTCCCTGAGGGAGTCAAAGTCTGCTTTTCTGAAGTCCAAGGTTCGTATTCTGCTCTCTCCTTTCTTCCTTGTGTCAGGATCCTGAACTCAACCATCTCATGGTCACTGCCTCCCAGGTTTCCATCCACTTTTGCTTCCCCTACTAATTCTTTGTGAGCAGCAGGTCTAGAAGAGCTCCGCCCCTAGTTGGTTCTTCCAGCATTTGCACCAGGAAATTGTCCCCTACACTTTCCAAAGACTTCCTGAATTGTCTGTGCACCGCTGTATTGCTCTTTCAGCAGATATCAGGGTGATTAAAGTCTCCCGTGAGAACCAGGGCCTGAGATCTAGTAACTTCTGCTAGTTGGCGGAAGAAAGCCTCGTCCACCTCATCTCCCTGGTCTGTTGGTCTATAGCAGACTTCCAGCATGACATCACCCTTGTTGCTCACACTTCTAAACTTAATCCAGAGACTCTCAGGTTTTTCTGCAGTTTCATACCAGAGCTCTGAGCAGTCATACTCCTCTCTTACATACAATGCAACTCCCCCACCTTTTCTGCCCTGCCTTTCCTTCCTGAACAGTTTATATCCATCCATGACAGTACTCCAGTTATGTGAGTTATCCCACCAAGTCTCTGTTATTCCAATAACATCATAGTTCCTTGACTGTGCCAGGACTTCCAGTTCTCCCTGCTTGTTTCCCAGGCTTCTTGCATTTGTGTATAGACACTTAAGATAACTCGCTGATTGTCCTGCTTTCTCAGTATGAGGCAGGAGTCCTCCCCTCTTGCACTCTCCTGCTCATGCTTCCTCCTGGTATCCCATTTCCCCACTTACCTCAGGGCTTTGGTCTCCTTTACCCGGTGAACCTAGTTTAAAGCCCTCCTCACTAGGTTAGCCAGCCTGCTTGCAAAGATTGTCTTCCCTCTCTGTCAAACCATCTTATCTTGTACTAGATTGGGGTGTATTTTTACTAACCTTCTGGAATGTATTTACGTATATATCTAGTGCTTAGTAATTCTTAGGCGGGCCTAGCAGCAACTTTGGCAAGTTCATGCACCAGACAGTGAACTTATAATCATCTGCTTTAATACATGGTCGACAAAGTGGGGATTTTCCCTTGTTATGTTGTATGTGAGCCTATGTGAGCCTTACTGTTGAGCCTATGTGAGTGTGACAGTCCCCGCCCCTAGGGTCAGAGCAGTGTGGGCCATCGGTCACAGTCCGTAAAGCAGCCCTTCAGTGCAGGGCAGCGTGGTCTAGCGGCCAGAGTCTATAGCGCCGCCCTTTGGGGCAGGGCAGCACGGCCTAAAGGCCAGAGTCTATAGCACCACCCTTCGGTGCCGGGCAGCATGGCCTAGCGGCCAAAATCTATAGTGCCACCCTTTGGTGCAGGGCAGCATGTCCTAACGACCAGAGTCTATAGAGCCACCCTTTCGGGGCAGGGCAGCGTGGCCTTATGACCAGAGTCTATAGAGCCTCCCTTTGCTACAGGGCAGTGGGGCCTAACGGCCAGAGTCCATAAAGCAGCCCTTTGGTGTAGGGTAGCGTGGCCTAGTGGCCACAGTCTACAGCATTGGGGTGTGGCAGCCCCACTCCACCAGGCCCTGACCCAGGGCCCTAACAGTGGCATAGCGGCTTGCCACTGACTCAGCGGCCTCCAGCCCAGCATGAGCTGGTCTCCCTCCCTTTATACTACTAGAGCACTTGGAGCATGCCCAGTCTTGCCAGGGGCGGGACTTCCGCTGTCAATACCTGGGGCTTAACCCTGTCTGGGCTAGTGTGGGGTAAGCGGACCCCATCACACAGAGTTTTACTGTTTTGCATGAATACTGTGTGCGCCTCCGTTTCTCTGTGTGCCGCACCAATTCTTCGGTGGTGGGAATAGGTGTGTGACTTTGGCTGAGACCTCTGGGGCACGTGAGGCTGCTCCAGCAGCCTGGGTGTATGCTATGGCCAGTGCCCTTCATAACCTGAGACCCATGAGGGGGATGCTACCAGATGACAACCAGGTGACTCTTTTCCTGGGAAGCGAGACAAAGAGAAGGAGGAGGAGCAATGGGGGTGTCAAAGATCAGGTCACTGGAAGTTGGGCATTCTGCCTGTGGGGACTGGAAGAGGGGAAGTCCAGGCTGCCTGGCCCAGGACTCCCCAGGATGGACTTGGCTGAAAGTCACTGATTTCTGTGCTAGCAAGCTCTGTTCTGCGCTGTGTTCCTGTCAACTAATAAACCATTCTGTTCTACATGCTGGCTGAGAGTCACTGCTGACTGAGGAGCTGGGGTGCAGGACCCTCTAGCTTCCCCAGGAGCCCTGCCCAGGTGGACTCGCTGCAGGAAGCACAAGGTGTGGAAGGGGATGCTGAATGCTCCGAGGTCAGATCCAGGAAGGTTAAAGCTGTGTAAGCTTCTTGCCCTGGTGACAGTATGCTCAGAGAGAGGAGGCATGCTACCCTAGGGTCCCGACTGGCTTTGTACGGGGTAGTTCCAGAGCATTGGCCCGGTGACTCCATGACACATGGATTGACTTTGGTTCACAGCCTGTGTCAGGCCACCAGTCTTGTACCAGGTCCAGTGCTCCAGGCTCTTTCTATCTCTACTATGCCCATTACAGCCAGACACCCAACTTCTGCCTCCACTTTCAGGGCAGAGAGACACCCTCTTCCCTCAATTAAATAGTGGCCCTTTGCTGGCATTGGTTGCTGGTGGCAGGGGTGACACAGTGGTGAAGGTACTTGTCACTGTTTATGGTGTGCTTCCCAGGATACCCATTGCTTTCAGTGTGTTGCCCCTAAGTGGAGTTACTGGGGCTTCTTATTGGGGCTTGAAGTGTCTTGGATAAGCCAGAGGGGAAGGGGACAGCAGCATTTTCCGGTTCTGTCATGAATCTGTGTGTGAGGGAGAAAGATAATTTCAAACAACTTTAGAGGGAAAGGTTCAGGAACAGGGGAGGTGAGGCAGGATGCTTGGGTGAAATTCTACAACCTGACCAAACCTGGAAGGCTTGGCAGGGCCCATTGGTGGTCGAGGTTTGGGTAGGAAGGTCTGAGTGACAAGAACAGGAACAGAGGCACAGAATACTGCTTGGACAGAAAAAGGAACAGAAGATACAAAAAAAGCCCAGGAAAGCGTGGGGAGACTGGGAAAGGGAGGAGTGGAATGGAAGGGAGTGTCAAAGAGAAGGAGAGAGTAAAGTATATAAGGGGCTAGAAAAAGATCATCACAAATTGTGGGTCAAGAGGGGGAGAGAGGGAACGTGTGAAAGAAGAATTTGAATATTGGTGTCAAATGTCTGAAGAGCAGAATAACCGGCCTTAGAGAGACGATGTGTCCGGCTCTGAGATCCTTGAGTTTGCAGGGCAGGAAGATGCTGGAGCGGCTGTGGCTGCTTCTCACCCTCCTGACTCTCCCGCACTGTAATGGGAGAACAGAGAGGATATTTCTTATTGCCATTTGCCTTCAGTCTTTCTTTCTGATTCCTGTCCCCTTTCTTTCTCCATACATCTCTGTGTCTCATTCACAGACAGGCACTCTCAGACTCTCCACCAGACCCCCCGCTTCATTTCTCTGCCCCCCAGCTCCTCTGTCCAGCTGCACTGCTGGTCCCCAGTTCAACCCTCTACATGTACTGGTACCAGCAGCCTCCCTAGGGAGGAGCCCTCCACATGCTCTTTCTCTCCAGAGGCAAGGATTCGATTGATCACAGTCCAGAGAAATGCTTTAAGGCTGCCAGACTGGCCAAGCAGAACCTGACACTGAGCACAGTCATTCTCTTCCCCAAAGACACGGCAGTGTATCAGTGTTCCTTCTAATTTTTCCCACCCATGTGCGGAATGAATTTTGTTATGTGCACCAATATGGAGGTGATGTTTGACACATCACCTTCATATTGGTGCACATAACAAAATTCATGTGGTGGGGGTAGGGCTGAGGGGTTCGGAGTGTGGGAGGGGGCTCAGGGCTGGGGCAGAAGGTTGGGGTGCAGGAAAGTGCTTTGGGGCTATGGCGGGGAGAGAGGACTCCCCACAGCAGCACCTGGGCTGAGGGGGAGAGATGATCCTCCCTGCTGTGGCAGCTCCAGGGCTGGGGCTGGGTTCGGGCTGGGGAAGGGGCACCCGGGCTGTGCTTAGGACTGGGCCATGCCACCCTAGCCATGCCTGGGGCCAGTCCAGGCCATGCTGCCCTGGCTGAGCCTTGGTCCAGTCTGCACTGCCCTGGCCGTGCCTGGGTCCGGGCCGGACCACTCTGGCCGTGCCTGGGGCTGGGCCGGGCCGCCCCGGCCGGGGCAGGGCCAGTCTGCAGCAGAGTTGGAGCCGGCAGAGGTCCTCCCCAGCCGCAGCAGATTGGAGGCCGTGCTAGGTTGGGGCGGCGGAAGGGTGCCTCTCTCCTGGCCGGCCCCTGGCTGCGGCAGGTCGCTGCGTGTGTTCCCTGAATAGGCTAAATAGGCTGCTGCGTGCCTGCACAGCTTACAGGGAAATTATACTGGTGTATTACTGTGCCTGGAGCCACACACAGAGCAAAGTGGGTGCAGCCCCTGGACAAAAACTCCCTCCCCCATCGCTATGAGGAGCTGAGCTGAGATCCCTGTCCTCTCCCACTGACACTGTGAGTCACAGGCCCAGCTTCTCCCTTCTTTCCTTGAAGGGGAACATCTGTGTCATGTTTCATCGTAGCTATTCGTGATGCAAGAAATATCTGCGGCCTCATCTGACATCCAACCCCTTTCCAGCCACTGCAAAATTATTCCCTGTGATACATTCACCAGCTTCACAGACACCCCGAAATTCATGCTGATATCCCCTGCAGATGGGGATTCTTCCCAGACACCAAATCAGATGATCAACTGAATCCTGTACATGAGGGTGAGAGATTCCCTAGCAGTTCAGCATCTAGGGCTCAATCCTATAATGCGCTGTTATTGTCCTCAGCCCTCACTGAAGCAAGGGGGAGTTAAGGGCACTCAGAACCTTGCAAGAGTCAGACCATAACTCTGTTTATACCCTGTGATACTGTTGCTGAACCAGGTCCCTTTCTTTAATTATACCTTGGTGATGGTGATTCTGCCAGTACCTCCAATCAGTCACTGTTTGTCTATGAGCTGAGCCACTCCATGCCCCTGCCACCTCAAAAATGCACAGCAAGTGTCAGTGTAGGAGATGGCAATTACACAGCTGCTTGACCTAGAGACAAGAGAAGGGAGGTTTCAGGCTTTAGTCAGAGGAAAGTATGAGAAGACGACTTAAAGGGGACACTGTATTCAGTCCCTGCACTGCTCTGGTTTCTAGCAATTGTTTCATGTAAGTAAAACAATTTTCTCATTTAAATTCTGTTAATTGGGAAGATTTTTAAAACCACCCTTCTGGCATTTGAAAATCTATCTATCTATCTAGTTAGCTAATATTTGTAGATTTGTAACATTATATTATCATAGCTTTCTTAAATATATGTAGTCATTTTATTTTATTAATTAAAATATAATTATTATTTATGATTGTAATGTAATTTCTATATCAAGTGTTATAATACATATATTTGTGTAACATTATTTATCCCAAAATGTTTTACAAAGTTGAGAAGATATACTATTCTAATACAATATGTATGAATTTAAGAGCCCTCCTTTCTTACAAGTATGGTTTAAAAGGATAAAAGAGTTATTGAGCAGTTCATCCAGGGTTCAGTCATGCAAGTTGCTAAGAACTCTGGCCCTGATTCTGCAAAGCTTTAAGCAGTTGGTAGGTTCTATCTCTTTCTACGTGCCAACAGTCCCTAGTTTCCCTTTTGGATTGTAGGCTCTCACTCTGCAACCATTGTCCAGAATCCGCAGTCAGTGGTGGAAGAGCTGGGCAGACAGGTTTCCCTAGAATCTTCTTTGGAAGGGACATCTAATCCTTACATCTACTGGTATAGGCAGCTTCCTGGTGGACAGATCTACATGCTCGCCTACTCAGTAAGCATTGGTCAAGTGGATAATACTGGACCGAGCCACTTCAGCACAAGCAGAACAAAGGACAAGGAGTTTCTCCTGAGCATCAACGGCCTCTTAGCTAATGACACAGGAGTGTATTACTGGGTTTGGAGCCACACACTGAAACAAGTGTGTGCAGCACCTGGACAAAAACTCCCCCTCCTCCCCATTCATTGGCCTGTGTGCCCATCCCTTGTAGTGCAGTAAGCAGCAGCTGCAAGTGAAGAGAGGGAATAGCAAAGCTGTCTATGAACACAGCTTTGAAAAGTAAGGCTCTGAGTAAAGACACAGGAAATGGAAGCAACATCAGCCATGTCCTGACACATCGATGATAAACCCCTCTGAGCTTTTCAGCTTTTCCACAACAGACTCCTTTTAAATCAAGGAGTAAGACGATATTTTTGGTAGTGGGAGGACGGGGTGGGCTGAGGGAGATAACTGATGTGATGGAACTAAGAAGAGAGTGGAAATTACAGGCAGGAAAGCAAGATAATATATTATAACATTATGATCTATTATTCCCTAAAGTAGGGAGCTCCATTTTTGAGTCATTTCAAATTAGATTGGACAAAGCCTTGGAGAATAGGCAGTATGACTGTCATTCTCAAAGTACTATTCCATTCATAGACTACTTCTTATGACATGGACACTGTGACTGGATCCCTGGGATGCGGCCTGGGACTGTGGGACGGCTGTGCCCCCTTAACTCTTTCCAGGCTGGGCTGTCTCTTACAATGCCTTGCTAGTGACCAGCAATAAGCCTAGGGTGATCAGATATCCCGATTTTATAGGGACAGTCCCGATTTTGGGGTCTTTTTCTTATATAGGCTCCTATTACCCCCCACCCCCCTCCTGACTTTTCACACTTGCTGTCTGGTCACCCTAAATAAGCCCCTCCAGGCGCTGTGATCAATCAGCACAACTGCATATGGAGCCCCACAGCCAGCTAGATTGCATGAGTGCTCCCAGACCCACTCATGAATCTCACAGAGAAAGGCACCAGAGCCAAATCCCCCCAGCTCCCAGCACTGCACCCCAGGAATATACCATCTTGCACTGCTCAAGATGAGCAATGCTAATTTATTAATTGGTTCATCACTTCATCAACGGAAAGTGGATATACACCAGCCTTTGCAAACCTGAGCAGATTTGCCACACACTTCATACAAACTCACTGGTAAAGATAAACAATTAAACAAATGTATTGATTATAAAAGGTACATTTTAAGTGATAGGCAAAAAGTCAAGAGTTAGTTACCAAAAGAAATAAAATATAAGCACTCAGTCTAAACTCTGAACCCTATTAGACTGAGCAACATCTAGACTAAGCAGTTTTTCTCACCCCACTGGATATTGCTGTCCACAGTACACAGATTTCACCCCTGAAATCTGGGCCAGTCCCCTCAGTTGGAGTCTTCAGAGTATCCTTGTTGTTTGCTGAAAGGCCAAGCATGGGCCCCCTGTGTTCGGTTTTATACCCTCAGTCCATGTGCTTGGAAAATACAAGTCCAGGCATGTCTGGTGGGCATTGCTCAATCTCCTGGCAAGGTTGAGCAATTCCCCTGGTGTGCCCTCATGCAGGTGAGTCACTGAATTGTAGCTCCCTTGCTGGACAATGGCTGTTGACAGGTTGTTTGACACTCTGCTTGGGCGTGGGTTACTTCCTTGCTGTTGCCTCTGGGAAGCTAATATCTGGCTGATTCTCCAAATTACAGCATGTTTTATTGACAACTATAAAACACAATTCTCATAACTTCATATGCATTAATGATATACATATATAGTAGAACAGTGCCTTTCAGCTGATCATAACCTTTTCACTAATACCTAACATGCCTGCATTATATGCAATATCATAATTATATAGAGATGAGGAATATGGGGGTTACAAGACACTCCCCCAAGGTATAACATGTCACAGACACCTCCTCCCAGCTGCCTCATCTCACTTCTTGCCAGTGGCCACTACCACAGTGGGTTACAATAATTAGGTCAGTATGAAGAAGACAAGAGGAAAATGAATTTGCTTTAATGTGATGGGCGAGGTGCCTGGTTACAAGCCTTCAATTTTTACTTGTTTTGTGACTTTATATCTACTGGGAATTTGTCTCCTCCCATTCCCTGCAGTCTGTCCAGACCACTGTACTTCAGTTCTGTTCCCCTGGCTATTTGCTGACATGCTGTTTTCAGTGTCTTACACAAATTTGATCACAGCTGAATTGACATCAAGGAAAATCCCAACAAGGAAAGACGTGACGCAGCAGCAACAGCAGAGGGGTTTGGATACTATTACTTTTAAAAATGTAATTGGTCAGAAAAGCATTTGTAGGTGCTAAATGGCTCTAGACTGGGCCACTATTAGCAAGAGTGACTGCTTGAAAGATATCTTCCTGTAAAAATCCATCTGCAGCCACTAGATGGTGCTCCTTCTCTACCTGAGGGAATCAGAGCTGTTGAGTCTGGAGTAGAACTGGCCGGAGAACGACAATTCTGTTCTGCCACAACTTTTGAGCTTTTAAATTTCATTTTTGTTTGCATTGGTCTAAAAACAAAACCTTTCAAATGGCTTCTGCAAAATAGGATTGTGTGAAAATGTCCAGTTTGGTGTTGAAAAGGTGTAATGTGGGTCTCCCTCTGGGTATGTCTAGATTGAAGTCACAGGGTTTGATTAGAGCTTGATTTGAAATATGTGAGGTAGCTTTAATTTAGATAACTTGGGTACCTGAACAGTGAAGGCATATCAGCGTGGAGTAGAGCAGAAGAATTACTTCTCATGTCTTTCTTACAATACTCCTGATAATACATTGTAGAAGGATATCTGCTTTTTTTGCAACAGTGCTCTGCTCATATTTCGCTTGTGATCCACTATAACCCCCAGATCCCTCTCTGCAGTACTCCTTCGTAGGCAATCATTTCTTATTTTGTACATGTGCAACTGATTGTTCATTCCTAAGTGGAGTTCTTTGCATTTGTCCTTATTGAATTTCATCCTATTTACTTCAGACCGTTTCTCCAGTTAGTTCAGATCATTTTGAATTTTAATCCTATCCTACAAAGTACTTGCAACCCCTCCCACCTTGGTATCATCCACCAATTTTATAAGTGTACTCTCTATGCCATTATCTAAATCATTGATGAAGGTTTTGAACAGAACTGGACCCAGAACCGATCACTGCGGGACCCCTTCCTGCTTGACTGGGAATGGTTTTTCAACCAGTTATGCATCCCCCTTATAGTAGCTCCATCTAGGTTGCATTTCCCTAGTTTGTTGATGAGAAAGTCATAGAATCATAGAAGATTAGGGTTGGAAGAGACCTCAGGAGGTCATCTAGTCCAACCCCCTGCTCAAGGCAGGACCAACCCCAACTAAATTATCCCAGCCAGGGCTTTCTCAAGCTGGGCCTTAAAAACCTCTAAGGATGGAGATTCCACCACCTCCTTAGGTAACCCACTCCAGTGCTTCACCACCTTCCTACTGAAATAGTGTTTCCTAATTTCCAACCTAAACCTCCTCCACTGCAACTTGAGACCATTGCTCCTTGTTCTGTAATCTGCCACCATTGAGAACAGCCAAGCTCCATCCTCTTTGGCACCCCACTTCAGGTATCAAAGGCTGCTATCAAATCCCCCCCTCACTCTTTTCTTCTGCAGACTAAACAAGTCCAGTTCCCTCAGCCTCTTCTCATAAGTCATGTGCTCCAGCCCCCTGATAATTTTTGTTGCCCTCCGCTGGACTCTCTCCAATTTGTCCACATCCTTTCTGTAGTGGGGGGCCCAAACCTGGACGCAATACTCCAGATGTGGCCTCACCAGTGCTGAATAGCGGGGAATAATCACTTCCCTCGATCTGCTGGCAATGTTCCTACTAATGCAGCCCAATATGCCATTAGCCTTCTTTGCAACAAGGGCACACTGCTGACTTAGTCAGTTGGTCCCCAGCCTGTAGTGGTGCATGGGATCCTTCCTTCCTAAGTGGAGGACTCTGCACTTGTCCTTGTTGAACCTCATCAGATTTCTTTTGGCCCAGTCCTCCACGTCATGCAAGACAGTATCAAAAGCCTTAATAAAGTCAAGATACACCACATCTACCACTTCCCCTCTACCCACTAGGCTTGTTGGTCTGTCAAAGAAAGCTATTAGGTTGGTTTGACATAATGTAATCTTGACAAATCGATGATGACTGTTATTTATCACCGTATATTGTCTAGGTGTTTGCAAATTGATTGCTTTATTATTTTCTCCATTATCTTTTCAGGTACTGAAGTTAAGCTGACTGGTCTGTAATTCCCTGGGTTGTCCTCATTCCCCTTTTTATAGACTGGCACTATATTTGCCCTTTTCCATGCCAGCATGTGAGGCAGCCTGTTCTTCAGCCCAGTCTGTAAAAGCCCACCCAGAAACCTAAATAATAGCTCAGAAGCCTAGCCTGTGCAGAAGTTGTTGCTACCATGACTTCACTCTTCCCATACTCAAACTAGCGAGAGTAAAGCTGACTTGGGTATATCTACAGGAGCTGCAATCACGGTCCCTCTTTTGCTCTCTCTCTTTCTGGGGGTGACTGTATAATCCACCCTGGACCTCAGATACCTTCCCATCAAAAACATTTTTGAAACGAAACGTTTCCCTGCACTAATTCAGCTTTGAACAAACAGCATATTTTGATGACAAAACTTTTTGGTGAAAATGTTCCAACCAGCTCCAGTGAAGAGGGCACAGATTACCAGCTGTCGTGCCAGTCCTTCCATCCAAACTCAGCCTATGCATTGTACCCTTAAGGGACATGTGTCTCAGCAATTAGCGCCCTTGTCAGAAAGTCATGGTTAAAATCCCTACACAAGGACTTGTGTGGTGGCCTTTTGAAAAGATGATCAGTTGAACGTACTTTTGCCCAGCCTCAGGTGGGCTATTCAGGTTATTCTGTCCACCTAGAAGAGTGTTTCAGTGAATGTAAATGAATCTGTAACATCCAAGGCTGCACATGAGCTACTGCTGAAGATAGAATGGCTGTTGTGTTGGCTTTTGTAATCCCTGCATTCAGAAATGCCTCACTGTAATGATACCCCAAACGCCCATCCCAGTCCCAACAGTCCAGCTCCCAGTCACGACCCCATATCCCCTCATCAAATCCCTGTGCAATGAGCTTGGAGCAATCCAGGTCTGTGGCTGCAGAAAAAAGTGATAATATAATTGACCAGTAATAATACAACTAAGAGACCCATCTCTTGCTCCTGTGGGCAGAACCAGGTCTACAGAGCACCTGTATAAAATTGTGCTCAGGGAAACTCCCTTGCTCAGTTAGACAGTGGTGGGGCTGGGGATTTTCTGGTGCTGGCTATGTGCCTCTTGGGAGCAAATACATCATTGGCTGAGGCATGAAATCTCCATCTAGATGTTTGGGGATGTGGCTGCAAATGTTTTCCTCAAGCCATTTGTTTTATGGTCTCTTCCTCGTGTGCTTTTTCTCTTTCCCCTGCAGGATGCTCAGATCAACCAAACCCAGAGTCTGGTCCTAGAGAAGGGGAACCCAGCCCACCTGAAATGCAAACTAACTTACAATCACACTTGGATGCTCTGGTATCGACCGGTTCAGGAGCAGGGTCTGCAGCTGTTCTTTTACTCGCTTGATAGAAAAGATGTGCAGAGCGATGACACTAGAGAGAGAATCACAGCCTCCTGGCTGCAGGCTCAGCTCTTCTACTTCACTATCTCATCCGTGACATTGAATCTGTGTATTTCTGTTCCAGCAGTTCAGACACAGGGGTTCAGTCATCTGCTCTCCTGCTACAAAAACCTCCTCTGATCCCCTTCCTTGCAGACCCCAGCACCAGCAAGAGGCTGGCTGCCAGTGCTGGCTGCCTCTCTTAGCACTGGAGAGGTGCAAGGTGGGAGAATGGACTGTGGTGGGGGCAATCCATCTCTCTGGGATGTACTCACCTGATATGAATATCTCCATTTGTCATGTAAGAACAACACTTTCACAATTCCTTCCGTCTGAGGATCTTGGAGTGTGAAAATAGCCCCACAACACCAGTCAGGGCGGTAGGGAAGGATTATTGCCCTCATGTTTCAGATGGCAAAACTTGGGGAGCTCAAAGGTGCAGATTCACAAGCATTGATGCCTGGCTTGACAGATGCACTGTCAGTGGGATGGGAGGAGGACAAAAGAATCCACGGGGCCTAAGAATATGAACCAATGGTGCAGATTATTTAGGGCTGTTGACTGGAACTGTTTCACACACCCAATGATATTTTCCATGTGTGTGTCACTTCCATCCCTCAGTGAGGAGGTCAGAATGTGGCTTATGGCCTATAATAACCCTGCAATGGTGACCTTATGGAGGGGAGTCCCAGCCTCTTGACTAGAGAATATGATTTTTTTCTTGACTCTCTCTCCTGTGGAAAC